CCCTAAAAACCCAAACCCTAAACCTTACAACCCTGTAACCCTAAACCCTAAATCCTAGAACCCTAGAACCCTAAAAACCCAAACCCTAAACCCTACAACCCTGTAACCCTAAACCCTAAATCCTAGAACCCTAAAAACCCAAACCCCTAACCCGAAGGCCTCTCGGCGCCGACTCTCGCGCGCGGCTTGCGCCGCGCGCATCTCCTGGAGGCCCTGGGAAGCGAAAGGCGGGCTCTTTTTGGGAGGTTTCGGGTATTTTGAGGATTAGGGTTTTGGGGTTTAGGGTTTAGGGTTTAGGGGTCTTTTTGGGGGAGGTTTCGGGTATTTTGGGGATTAGGGTTTAGGGTTTCGGGCATTTTGAGGATTAGGGTTTAGGGTTTAGGGTTCAGGGGCTAATAGGGTTTGGGGTTTAGGGTTCAGGGTGTTTTGGGGATTAGGTGCCTCCTGGTGTTCCACCCTGAATACCTCCCTACATAGCACAACTAGGATAAGGCTGGAGGTGGTCGTCGGGCTTTGAACTGGAAGAAGCACTACGTTTTCAGGGCTTGTAGGGGTCTCACAAGGCCGTATTCGCCTTTATTGGGGCATTATGTTTGCGTTTAGAGTTTAGAGTTTGGGGCATCGAACACCTTCATTATGAAGGTCTTAGGGTTTAGGGTTTAGGGTTCAGGGTTTAGGGCTTGGGTTTACAGAAGGTTCTTGGGTCTTGCAAATTCTTGCAGAGATCACAGAAAGCCAGAAAGTCCAATATGTCTCTGAATCAGGAGTGCTCCCAATGATCCTCCTAAGCCAACAGCCCGAATCCCTCATTTGAAAACCAACCCCAAGGAGCTATAAACCCAAACCCGAACTGCAGAACCCTAACCCCAAATCCCTTCAAACCCACACCCTAAACCCTAAACCCCCTAAGCCCCACAGGCAAAACCCCGTGCAAATCCAAACCCTCAACTTAGGCCAAATTTCCCAGACCCTACTTGTCTTACGTAAAGTCCCTCAACCCCAAAAGATCTAAGAACGCTGGGTCCCACTCACAGCCAAGACTGGACTGCGATATACCTAGGGCCGCTAGAGACTCAAACAACTCTTTAAAGCGCATTGAACTTCATAATTCGATTACAGGACCCCCGGCGAATCATATTGGAAACTAGTCCGACCTCGCAATAACCACATTTAAGATTCCAGCGTTTGATAAGAAACATGCTCGAATGTATTCTCACCCTAGGCTAGACTTCAGGGTTTAGGGTTTAGCGTTACTTGCCTTGAAAGCCCTTTGTCCATTCTGCAGTAGCTCGCTACCGAATGGGGTTATAGGGTTTAGGACTAACGGTCACTAGCCCTGCTAATCCCTAAACCCGAACCCCCTAAACCCTGTAATTAACTCCAAAGCACCAAACCCTTGAATCCTGAAGACCCAGAGGCCCTAAACCCAATAGCCTAAACCCCAAACCCTAAACCCTAAAACCCTTTTCCGGAAAGTTTGAAGGTTCCTGGCTATTGTTTCCTTACAGACGGCAATAGAAAGAGGTCGGCTTTTGGGGGTCCAGGTGAGGTTACCCCATAGAATCCTCTTATTGAACCCTTCTCATAGAACTTGAACCGTACCGGTGCTAAAGAAACGTGGCAAGGGAACCGTTTGGAGTGGCGCTACAAAGGAACCCTTTAAAGTAACCCTACAAAGGAGCCCTGGAAAGGAACCCTAAACCCAAAACCCAAAACCCTAAACCCCCTAAACCCTACACCCTTAAAGAAACCCTATACAAATGCTGCCCCTTTGTTAACCTTACCCCTAAACCCTCAACCCTAAACCCTGAACCCCTGCATCATAAACCCTAAACCCTGAACCCTAAACCCTAAACCCTAAACCCTAAACCCAGGGGCTGCCCCAGGAGTCCCGGCATGTGCGCCGCCAGTGGTGACCCGGCCCAGAAGCTTTGGCAGCTCAATGGGCCTCTCTTCTGTGGCCTCCTGTGCTGTGCGGTTCAGGGTTTAGGGTTTAGGGTTTAGGGTTTAGGGTTTAAGGTTTAGGGTTTAGCGTAATGTTATATCCCAAAGGGTCCAAAGTACCTAGACAGTAGAGTGTAAGGTTTCTAGACTAGGATTTGTAACTATGATTTGGGAAAGTATCCCCCATAACAGTACCTGGGACCCTCTGGGTATGGACGGTTCTCATCCTTGTAGAGCCTATGCCTGCCTAAGCAATACTACGCGCTATCCAGCCGCACACTGGGGAAAGCGGCCTGCGGAGACATATCTCAAAACATGATGGCCTATGCCAGCCTACGTGCTACGGAGGCCTACGGGGACTTGTCGTTTAGAAGAGTAAGCAAGGTTCCAAAGACATTCTTTACCATGGCAATATCATCTTTGTTGTTTATCTTGCTTTTGCGACCAACACGTGACACATGACGGTCAGATGTGGAACCACTGGAAATATCCTGTTGCAAGCGACCAAACGAGACCCGGACAAGCTTGTACCCATGCTCTGCCAATACGGCCCCGGGAATACTACTTTTCACGTCCAAATCCTGAACAGAGATGCGTGGCAAATGAAATTGGCTTGGATGCGTAGCTACTGGTTGCCTTCTGGAGCCCAGACCATCCAACAACGTGTCCCACTGGGATTCGGAAACATTTTTCGATGCCAAGTCTTGCAACAAATGATTGGGTAATGCGGTACGCATAGGCAGTTCGACTGTGATTTCCATTTTCCTGACGACGGCCAAAACGAAGGCAACCGCCTCCTCTTGGGAGGAACTTTTAAACATGATCGTTTCAGAAACCTCCTTTACCAGTCTGTTTCTGTGCTGTTTGCTGAAGTCATCCCACGTCTTTGGTTCCTTGAGACCATGGCTTGCTTGAACGAGGGCAAGACAAATGTCTACGACACACAAAGAAAAACACTACGTATACTCCCAAAGCGACTCCTATGCCTACGCCCAGCCTACGCAAGGACTATGCCGGGGCTGCGCGGAGTGCACTCTACCACATCCGATTTTGGGTTCCCTGTACTTCAAGAAACGAAAGCTGAGCTCTATTGTGTTGCATGCAACACTCTGTTCGTCCATCGGGCTGCGGTGGATTTTGAATTGTTTGGGCTTAAGTAAGTATACGGGTGTCCAGCTGTAGGATCATAAATGGCCTTCTGTCTTCAGATTCTAACCTTTTAACCCTAAACCATGGGACACCGGATTCACAACTCACTGCGGTCCTGCTCCTCCTCCGGTTCTGGGAGTGCAGAGCCCAGCCTCGTGTTCGACTCGGTGTTGCTGGGTTTCGGTTTTTTTAGGAGATTGTAGGGTTTGGGGGTTAGGGTTTAGGGTTTAGGGCTGAGGGTTTATAGGAGATTATAGGGTTCGGGGTTTAGGGTTTAGGGCTGAGGGTTTATGGGAGATTATACGGTTGAGGGTTTAGGGGTTTAGGGGTTAGGGTTTATAGGAGATTATACGGTTTAGGGTTTAGGGTTTAACCTGCTTCTCGGGGTGATGGGTGATGGGGATCGAGGTCTGCATTGTCTAGGGCTTTTGTGAGGAGGGTTTTGCTTCTTCGGCGTAGGATGTCGGGTTTACAGGGTTTCAGACTGAGACTGCACTAGGGTGAAGCGCTGCATTGCGCTCTCCTTGGTTTTAAACCCTAAACCCTAAAACACAAACTCTAAGCGTGAAGCCCTCAGCCCGAAGCCTTACACCTTAAACCCTACGGCTACGGGTTTAATGCAGGGGCCTTATTCATAATTAGAATAGGGTTTGGGGGCCCATTAGACTATAATCATAAAAAGGACCCCGCAAAAAAAATAGTACTGGCGATTATTTAGGCCCCTATGTTAGGTTTGGGTTCGTTGGTCATACCCAGTTGGGTTCTTGTAAAGAAGCCCAATCGAAGCTTCAGCAATCGGGAGATGTGGATAAGTGGAAGATACTCTTGGGTTTAGGAGTTTTCTCCATAGGGACGCATGCTAGCCATGATGTGAACATTAGTAGTACTAGCGTTCGTATTGGCATCAATTCTACTTTGGCATCAATTCTACTTAAAAACACACTGCTGGAAACAATGAATGAACCGTTACAGTACCCTGAAATGCGACCCTTCATCCCTACGCCCCTAAACTCCTAATTCCCTGAACCCCCAAGCCCCTAAACCCCTAATTCTCCGAACCCCTAAGCCCCTTTACCCCTTATTCCCTGAACCCCTAAGTTGATAAGCCCCTAAACCCCTAATTCCCTGAACCCCTAACAAGCCCCTAAACCC